TTCATTGCCTTATCAACGTGAATATTTGGAATTTGCCTTAGTCTGCTTAATTAAACAAACAAACTAGCAGAACCACCCACTCAATAGCACATAATACATCACACAAGTGTAAAACAGATACAGTGGAAAGGGAGAGATTGAGCTGTTAACATAACTGTAAATTTATTAAACAATGAATGAAGTTAAAATGAAATGTTTAAAATATACTGAGCTCTGTCAAGTTCCGGCATAGTTAACTGACTTGTATATGGTGCACTGCTGTGAACCCATATTTATAGCTTTCCTGAGGGTTTTATGAGTGAACTGATTTATGAATAACCTGTCAGGCCCATGTATTACATTTCTGAGCTCCATTTAATAACGGCACTGTCTTGTCCTTTGCCATTTTTGCGTGGTAAAAACCTACAACTTAATTCTTAAGATTTTCAAAGTACTTTGAGTCTCTGCAGAACAAAAAGCGAAAGAGTGATTTTCAGTTATAACACATTAAAAAATGTAAGAGGTATTTTAAAGGCTCTGCTCTGTAGTTCGATCATCAGCTTCCACCTTTTCCTTACATCTGCACTGACTTATTCTTTCCTTCCCTTTAATGCATTAACTCTGGCTCTGACAGTTTTTAAAAAGCAGATAATACAAGCAACACTATTGCAGTTCAACTTCAGAAGCACTGAAAATGTATAAATTGATGTCAGTATGCCATTTGTATTAGAATTCTGACTCACGTTAACTCATTAGATCACAATCTAAGATCTAATATAATTTAAACAAATGTGATATTACATGTCAACTGTGTGGACGTCAGATAGGTTCATAGAATATACACCCATATACACATATTAGAATACAATGTTGGGGATTTTCTCATATCTTCATATCGTAATAATATTTTTTGATTATAATGATGTGTACTTACTAGTTTTGCCAAGTAAACTGCTGCTCTGAGTTGTCTGTTGCCAGGTTCCAGCTGATTCCTGAGAGTGGGCTCAGCATCAAAGTATTTCGGAGACACACAGAGCCCCTGCTTTTTCACTGTGGCTCCTGCGTATAGGTTTACTGATATGCACTTTGGCCCTATAGTGCCATAGGTTCTTGAAAATGCAGCACCAGAGGAAATGCAGCAGTGAAGCTTTCTAATCCCTCCCTCAAAACTGGAATTGAAGCTTTAGAACTGCAGCAGGGTGCTTTTGGCTGCTCCTGTTAAAAAGGGAAGTCTCATGGGAAGTGACATAGAAGTGCCATGGGCTGAGCCGCCTCACCATTAGCTTAATTGCACATGTGGGCTGCCTGATCTTCATCTCAGAGTAAGTTAAGTGTCAATTCAATTTAGATTTAGTAGATAATTGCATTCTTGATTTTTGTTTGTTTTTTTGTGAGTTAATGAACAATTTTAAAATGTTGAAAGCCTTTTATAAAAATTTGACACTTTGCAAGAATGTTCTTACTTGTTCCCTGATGCTATTTTGGACATCAGATGAAAAAAACCCAGACATCATTATGATACTCATGAGCTTTAATTATTTTGAGTAAATAAGTTAGCATTTATTTGAGCATTTCAAAAGCACTTCTCTTTGAAACTGAGAAGTGTCATCCTACACTGGTCAGTCATGGTTTAGCCCAGGGTGCAACTGTTGACCCTCTTCTTCAGTGACACTAAACTGGGACTAATGTCTGACCCCACAAAACTGCTCAGAGAGGTAATATAAGAAGACTGAACATAAATTACTTACATAAACCTTCATGGAGGTGAACAGGTGAGATGAATTTTCATATGTAATATTTTTATGCTTAAGCTTGAACCATAGCCACAATATTTGCTAAAACCTTCCTTTTACTTTTAACTGGTTAGTTGTGTTTTTAAGTGAAATGCAGATTTAAAATTCCACATCAAGATTGCAGTACAAAATATTTATTCAGACCAAACCCACACATTATCTTACTGACATAACACTAAGTGCCGTAACAAACATAAGCATCATACAAGATTTTTTTATGTCAGGGGGAGGTTCACATATATGGAAAAATTACAATTGTGGCCAGTATCTAGAAGTGAATTCAAGGACCTAATAGTTGTATTAGCTTTAGGCAAACAGTTAAATAGCACATTTAAAATCAATAAATATATGCTGCACAGTATATACTACATAAAATGTGCAAGATTACACAAGTATTTCTTTCATTCCATTTTATTGAGATTGCATAATTGAAATCAAAACAGGCAACACATTTGTGGTTTTTACTTCAGCAACAATTGTTTGATTCAGACTTTATTCTGAGTTTAACAACCAATATATCCACGTCAGGCTTAACTCATATCATATCTGTGAAATTCCCAAAAACTTGGTTTCTTCAGTGTGTTGTTTTATTCTGAAAGAAAATACAAGAGCAGAGTTATTGGATTCAGATTCCAAAGATCGTCACTGTTAAACATGACAAATAATTTATAACACAAGAACATTTTGTGAAGATTTACCTCTGACTGTCAGTTTAGTGGAGCACTCTGCCCTCCCCAGTGAGTTTTCTGCAACAACCTTGTACTCGCCGGTGTCTTTGGATCCAACCCTCAATATGAGCAGAGAACACACTCCACAGGTGTTGGAGATGTAGTAGTTAGTGTTGGTATTCAGACTGATGTTGTCGCGGAGCCATGTAACATGAGGTGTTGGATCTCCTTTTATAGCACAGCTCATGTAGCACTCATACCCTTGAGGAGCAGTGTGCATTTTCAGTGGGACCATGAACTTCGGAGCACACAGCAGATTACAGGTCTTCGACCCCGGCACGGTCACAGTGAACTTTTCTGTTTGTCAAGAAAATAAAATGCATTGCATCAAATCAGAATTCATCAGCTGTTTCAGGCATGATGGTGGTGCTACAAAGAAATTTACTATTGGAGCACGTACAGGTCCTGTTTTATATCAGAGCATTTTTATAGAAATAGAGCTCACTCCTTGTTCCAGTGCTAACAGAAAATATGATGGTCTCAAGATAAGAATTGAAATTTTATGGATAGCCCTCATCTCACCTGTTTAGTTAAATTTGGTTTAAAATACTTAATTTGGTATCATCTCTTACTAATCAAACCCAAGTCGTTGACCAGATACATTTATTGAATATCAATAAACCCTTTTAATTAAGAATTGACACCAGTGGAAATCTGTTCTTGAATGCAATTGACTAATGAGGCCTAAATAAAACTATATTTCTCCCAGAATGTATCCCTGCATTATTTCTACTGACCTACGCCCCAGTTTTCAAAGGTGGGCTTCCATTTAGAGTCTGAAAGTCGTATCGAAACCATAATGTACACTGCCACACTGAGTGGTACACTTATTGTCAGTTAAAGCTAACGCTAATAAAGCTAGACAGTTAATGTACAGCCCCATCGCATCGTTCTTTTCAAACTGAAAATAGTAATTTGGCTCGCATCATCAACCATGTCATGATAGATGCATAAAGAAAAAAAAGACACTGACAGCTCAACTTCATTGGTAACCTAGGTGATTAGTCGGGGGAGTTTAAAAACTTAATTTGCGTAGTTGAGGGTCTTACCTTTTTTGGTAGTAATCAGCCACTTTGTTGATTCAGATGGTTTGGACGAGCCCATGTCATTCTTTGCATAGACTCTGTACTGGTATTCCCGACCTGGCATTATGTTGCAGGCCGTGAATTTATTGTTGAAGATGTGATCTGCAATGGTGTGCCATGCTCTTTTGTTTGAATCACGCTTCATCACCATGTAATGCAGCCTGTCATCACGTTTCTCATCTGGAGATGCGGTCCATGAGATAGTCACTGTGCCAGGCACGTTTTCATCAAGCTCCACAGGACCTGGCGGCTTAGGTTCATCTGGAGTTAAAATGCATTTTTAGTTCCTGTGTGTGGAAAAGGAATTATTTACATAGGAAGAATGTACAGCATTTTTCCAATCTCACCCGTGACTCTAATTTCAATGCTGAATGTTTCTTGGCCGACAATGTTCTTGACGAGAATAGTGTAGATTCCAGTGTCTGTGCGCTCGGCGGAGGGAATGAGAAGCTGGGATGTGCCCTCTGCATTGCTGATGGTCACTTTTTTAGACACGGGCGCTCCATCTTTCACCCAGATGACCTCAGGCCAAGGGGAGGCCTACAGAAAAATATATTTTTTCAGATTTATCAGAAGATGAAATTAGTTTATAATATATGCACACTCATGGTTATTAGTCATTTTAATCACTGTCTGGATTACCTCAAAGTTGATGTTGAATCGAGCAGAATTTCCTGCTCTCACCACCATGAAACTCTTGATTTTTGCATCTGTGAATCGTGGCCTCACTGGGTGAGCAGCAGGATGAAAGTAAGGTTATTAGCTGGAATTGTTTTTGATATTGACAAATGCTTTTTTAATGATAAACAGCAAATCAGAAAAATCACAATCTCACTACAAAGCTATTAAAAAGAAATAAAGAGTAGTTGTGTTATTTGAGCTGAAATAGATTTTACTACTAATGTAATTGTAGCCACACCATTATAATCAACCAAAGTGACAAACAAACATAATGGTAAACGTTCGTGTGAACATTTTTTTTTTGGTGTTTAGTTTTCATTTCAGCATTTTAATTAATTGGTACCTAATGATATTTAATGATCATCTAAATGCTCAAATGAAAGTGAAAGTTATGCTCCCTGCACTTGTATTTCATTACTGGTGTTATAGCCAAATAGAGTGTTAAACAATTGTTCTCCACAATCCTAGTTTGTCATTGAAGAGCATCTTAAAATGAGTTACTCTCTTTGCATCAATTTAGCTTGTATGATAGTTGCAGTAATACAATCATTTGAAAGGACTCTCTTACCAGGAGGAGGCATAGCGAGGACATAATTATCGAGTTCCTGATACGGTCCCTCTCCTCCATCGTTAGTAGCATGTACTCTTACCCAGTACATAGCCATTGACTTCATGCCTTTCACTGTATAGCATGTCATGGTTATTGCATTTGAATTGCAGCGATCCCACTCTGTGTTTTCTGCAGGTCTGATCTCCACAAAATATCCCTTGGCTTCATCCTCAACCCCCTCAATTTCCTTGGGTTTGGTCCAAGACAGGGACAGGGTTGTGTAGGTGGAATCTGTCACTTTGAAGTCAATGATTTGACCAGGAGGCTCTGCAACACATGATTCACATTGAGTGTGGGATTTATAGGTTGTAAGAAATATGAAGTATGAGGAAGACAAAATCATGGCTGTCGTAATATATCCACCTACTTTTAGGGTCTCTGGCAAACACAAACTCAGATGGTGAACTGTATTCACCCGCTCCAGAGTCATTAATTGCTGACACGCGGAATTCGTACTCCATGCCCTCAACCACGTCTTTTACACCATATACCTTGGCTGTATAGAAAATAGAAAAATAGTAAATCACACACCATAGACATACAATACTGGAATGACAGCTACAAATCATCAGACATTCATTGGTTTGTTGTAACAGACTGTCTCAACATGAGCAAACTGAAATATTATAGAGCAACCTCTGATCATTTGCTCGGGTGGGTTGACTTGGCCCCAGAGGTTGCTGCCCTTCTTGCGTTTCTCAACGTTGTATCCCAGAATATTAGTTCCTCCAGTGTCAGAAGGAGGAGTCCAGGAGAGGTTGATGCAATTCTTGAAGGCACTGACAATCTTTGGTGCCGATGGAGGTGCAGGGTATGCTGTAAACACAAAAAACTGGGATCTGTGATCATGTCTGAGTCTAAAATAAGTCACGGATTGTTTTCGAACAATGTGGGGAAATTATTTGTGAAGTTGGAGGAATATAGTAATGAATTTATACTATATATCAACTATATGTTGAGACCTTTGTGTCTAACTTACTGGATGTAGGTGATGAGAAACGTGGTGACACAAAGAACCTGTTGGTGAACAATTTGTTGTGGACTAGTGGGTTTCAATAGCTCTCAAAGCCTCTTTTGTGTTTCTTTTTCTTCTTGTGTTTAATGTTGGCTTGACTGTTCCTTTATGTTAAAATTATTATTTTAAAGATAACACAACTTAAATTAAAAAATATTAGTTTACCTTTTGTACCAGCTTGAATGTCTTCTGTTTCCATCAGCTCACTGGTGCCCATTTCAGTCTCCACTCTCATGCGATAGCAGTACCTCCTGCCATGTTCTACATCAGTGTCCTTGTAAATGGCCTCTGGACCAATTGGCCCCAGCTTCTTCCAGGTGTTGCGTCCAACTTGCTGCCTTTCAAGGATATAGTTTCCTATCTTGCAGCCACCACTGTCTTTCGGGGGTCTCCACTTGAATTCAATTGAGGAGGAGCAGGCCTCAGTGATCTCCAGAGGTCCCATTGGAGGAGTAGGTTTATCTTTAAAAAAACATGCATTGCATACACAACATTAATCTTTGCTTAATGCATTACCCAACTATGCGTCTTTTTGTGTTAGTGCATGCAAAACAATGCCTGTAGGTTATAGCTTTCACATTATCTTTCTTATACATACCCAGTACAAGGAGTTGGCTGAAGGCTTCAATAGTGCCAAACTCATTTTTGAGTTTAATCTTGATTTCTCCACTGTCTTTGCGCTGCAGCTTGGTCAGAAGCAGGCGGCTGCAGCCCTCTGTGTGCTCAATCTTGATATTTGATTCTTCTGATAGCTCTTCACCCTCAAGGTACCATTGAACTTTGATAGGATCCCGTCCAATATAAGGTAATTTGAAGGTAGCTTTTTGTCCCTTTTTCACTGTTACAGGAGTTTTAAATGCTTCCAGTTCCTCAGCATCAAATCTTGGTGGATCTAAAAAATCAGAAAGATTGATATTTTAAGCAGTGTCATGTATGCGTACAAGTAATTGATAATATAAACATTAAATTGATATGCAGCACTCTTATATGTCAATTTCCATCATGACATTGACCTGCATGCACACACTAATGATTGATTCAATTCCTGTATGCAAGTAAGGAACAAATATTTTTACCTTCAACAACAATTAAGGCCTCTGTTTTCCGTCCATCTGCTTCAAATTTATATTTTCCAGCAAATTCCTCTGTTACTTTGTGAATTTTCAGCTTGTGGAAACTTCCATCTTTTGAAATGGTTATTCCCTCTGATGATTTAATCTTAAAAAACAACAGACATAAAATCTTGATTTATGCTCTTATATGATAATCATCAATACCTCTTTTGCCATATTTATGTAATAACATGTAGATCATGAATACGTTTGACTCTGGGCTTACCTCCTCTCCATCTTTGTACCAGTTTCCCTGACAGTCCTCACTGCTCACTTTACACTCCAGCTCTGCTGCTTCTCCCATAATGGCTTTGCAGTCCGAGAGCCCAGCATGAAAGTGAACTCCTGGATCTGAGGATTGATCAACCAGGCAAGTTAGCAAATGCAAATATCCTACAGCTGCAGCTTGCATCTGTAAACAAGCTGTTGTTCCTCAGCTGTTTCAGGTTTTTGTAAATGTGTCTTTAGTTACAAGGACTATGTTATGTTGTATATTAATGCATAATCTACTGGATTTAATCCAAGTGTGTACACTTACCTCACTTTGTTTCCATGTCTTTTGATAGCATGTATTTTATACATTTTTATGTTTTAAATGTAGGTTTGATGTCAAAAAACACATTTGAAGAGATTATACCATCCAAGTTTGTAAGGGGTATATAAAGAAGAGTGCATTTTGCATGTAAGAAGATTTCTTCTTTGGTCTGTAGCTTGGTTGTCTTGTTATGGCTTATTTCATCTTGAAAGTTTGCAGAGTTGTAATCCTTGCACAGCTCATAAGAATGTCATCAGCGAGGCGTTCAAATGACTGTTACTCTTTAAAGAAACATACACCCTTTAAGTACAAAATACCTCATTCAGCACTGACAGATCCTTGGTCAGTGGAAGAGAAAAAGCATTTTGTGTATTTAATGTGAATTCAATTTTCAATGTGAAGAAACTGCTTATGAGCATGGTCATCCTCCAAAGTCGGTCAGACTGTCTTCATCTTCAAAATATGCAAGTGTATCAAGAACACGATCGGTTCTGTAAATGTTAAATTGTGAACCTCAATGCACCGACTCATCCTGAATTGAATAAGGCAAGCAAGATTGTTAACACAGAGGCAAACGGAGCACAGATGCATTTAGAGGTTAATCACACAGACTGCAAACACAGCACATAAGAGACAGAAGTGATCACAGAAAATAAACAGCTGATATCCAACCTGTAAGTCATAGAAATAGAATTATATAACCATTGCTGTACTAATCTCTGTAAAACATAAGACTGAAGCATTTTTTATTATGACCATAAACTAGTCATACAATGCGCTATAGACAAAAATTATTCGTGCATTAAATGTAATTAGCATTTGTACAAGCAGTCTCACTGTTAAATCCACTCTTGCTGAATTGTCTGATCACTCTAAGAGGCCATTTAAACAATTAGCATTAAAATGTAGCAATTCTGCTCAGTGGTCACACACTTCTTCTCAGACACCGAAAGCACCGAAAAAGTCATCAGCTCTTCAGATGACTTTGTTCAGTGAGGGTGCTTCCCATGCAGCAGTTAACACAGAGCCCGTAATCTTACCACTAACTTTCTCCTCAATCAATTGGCCTTGTCGTGCACGAACTGAACGCTTGCCAGCTGCAGATGGCTCACCACCGTCTGCACCCTCACCATTTCCAGCAGATGCATCACTGCCTGCCGCTGGCCCAGTGCCATTATCACCACTGGCACGACTCGTTTCTCAGTTTTTTTGCTTTTCAGTTTTAGGGGATATCATCGTAATTACCATCAATCCACATTTTCTCATTTGCTGTTGGATATGCCTTACAAATAACATTAATGAGAACAGTAACAGTAAGAATTTAAGTGAAACATGGAGCATGATAACAACATCAACAACAACAACAGAACAGACATTAACAGAACATTGATTTCAATGCAGAAAAGGAGGGCAGTGGAAATAGTGACATCAAACTGGCTTTTCGAAATCAGCTCTGTGATGGCATCACTTTACTTTCACTTACATGTTACTGGGTGAACTGTAGAGGTTTGTTGATTTTTTTTCTTTTTGCAGTTTTGCAGAAGTATTTTGCAATTATTACTAGTCAAATTGATAAATGGTGTCATAGTTCCTTTTTTTTTTTAAGATATTTTTTGTTCATTTTCCTTTTTAATGACTGGACAGTACTGGCGTGAAATGGGAAGTGGGTGCCACATGATACCTTTAATCATACGATTTTCTCAAAAATACCAAACCTCAGATCCATTATCAACAGACATCTGAAATATTCTCATCTTGAATTCATATGTAGGTGAATCACTTTTTCCACTTTTGTACCCTTTATACAAACTACATCTATTTGAGGTTATACATACAAGACTTTAAACATTAATAAAGCAGCCAGTGACACTTTTCTTTGTCAGATATAGTTGAGCAATGGTGTGCTCTGTGTGTGTTGTTATCTAAGCTTCTCTGTTCTTTGTTTTAGATGGTGGTCATGTTCATGTTAGTGCATGTTAGTGCACATGGGTCCCTTCCTCATTACCTAGTTAAGATTAGCATTGCTTTCAACACCTTATTGAGAACACAATCAGGGGGGGGGTGTGTTGGAGCATTTGCTTTGGTCCAAATGCTGGTGCTAGTGCGATATTTAGTGGCAGTGAATCTTGTATATATAACCTTTAAACAAGGTACGTGACCTCATCGTGTTTGCAAACGGAAGATGTTTTACACACAAATCACAAATATAGACAAATATCTATATTTATCTACTTAAAGGATTAACCAAGGACACTAAAGCTTTGCATATGTAGTGAGCATATAATACTGTGTTTCAAATGTATAAAGAAAAAGACTTAATTTAACTAACTAAATTTGGTTTTATTAATCAATGTTGACTAATTTCGTTTAATTTATGCTAAATGTAGCATATAGTTAATGAGGTAAAGATTTAAGCCCAGGGAGAGAAAAACCATTTGAGTAATTGTCTCAATAGGGAAAAAGAGAAACATAACTTTATCCAACGCTACAGACTTACATATCCTAGATAAAGCAAGTGCAGTCACTGAGGCTTGTTAAAACCTTTCTGGGATATGTTTATAAATTCACCTTGGCCACATGGAGCTTTAAGTGAATTGTATGATCGGCAAAGCGGAGAAGTGTTGAGCTTTGTAGTGTCAGTGGTTCAAATAGTTCAGTTTAAATGGGAAATGCAGCTACATTAGGAAGAGTTTAGAATTTACCACATTTACGACTTTCCCCAGTGACGTTAATGGTAAGTAAATCTAACATGCAACCTCTGACATCTCTTACCAACAACAGGTTCTTCAACTTCCACATTTTTCCTTTTAGAACGTTTTCCTTTCTTCCCAGATTTTTCATCTTCTTGATTTGTGGATTCGTCGTCATTATTATCTCCTATTAGTAATAATAAATAGCAACTTCATACAGCCTGTTATACATGATTACAAATGTAATAATTTAGTGTCGTGGTATATTCTACTCTTAATGAAGTATATTTAAGATAGAGATTTAAGATTGATAGATTAAGAGGAATCTGAAAGGTCACAGAAAAGACAAACAACAATAAATGACATAACATCAAGACAACATTGACAACATTGCAAGACATCAACAACAACAACACAATGCATACACCTTCTACTCTTCCTATTCCTATTAATCTTAATACCTTTAAAATTATAGACACATTTCTCTATGAACACATTATATAGCAATGCATCCAGGTAGACATTTCTCATTATATATCACAGTGTGTATTATTTTCTTACCTATGACTGTTTCTGGAACAAGTGGACCATCTCTCACACGTTTCCTGCGTTTGCCTTTTCCACCTCCTTCTCCTCCCTCGCCTCCTTCTCCTCCCTGTCCTCCCTCTCCTCCTTCTCCTCCTTCCTCTCCTTCTACCATGTCCTCAAATTCGTCATCAGAATCTTCGAATGAATCGTATTCGTCTTCATCCTCAAACTCTTCTTCCCCAACTCCAACTCCTCCTTCAGCCCCACCACCAGCTCCTACACCAGCT